TACTAGGTATTTAAGGATGTGTTAATTATGTAATTAATTTTGTTCTTGAATACATAGAAAGGTTTCTCTTTTCCCAGAATATTTCAACTTGAATAACTGCCTGTGTATTCTTAGGGGAGGTAGTAGGGGAAAAAAATCAACATAGTATTTGCCCTCAGAGTTTGTAGTTTGTTTTGACAAGACCACACACAAAAGCCTAAGAATAGTGACGGGAACTTACAAAGGAAAGCAAATTAATGAAGTACAAAGTAGAGGCATGTCTTAAAATGTGCCATAGGGAGTTGTTCTATAACCTAATTTTTTTTTGTCCTTTGTCTTTCACAGTACTCTTTGGTTCCTTTGGAGTTTTTAAAGATTAATAAATGCATAAACATTGGTAGAATATTAAAACGCGAAAATTTAAAAACTTGTCGTTACTGATTTGCATGATTTTCATCTAAACTGTAGAAAATTGTCGATAGGAATTCTTTTTAATGCCAGAGGGTGCATGTATGCACGTGCGTATGTGAGAGGAAGAGGATACATACTTAGGCATGTCCTTCAATAGGGCCTATTGGTGCTGCAGTCCCTTCCCCTCCCAGTTTCCATCTCCTCAAGATCCCAGGCACACACTCCTGGCCTGTTTTTTAGTCCTACTAGGCCTGAATGCAAACCATGGTCAGCCATGTGGAATCTGGTTTCCTCTGAGCAGTGCCTACCCTCTGCACTACAGCGCTGGCCTCAGGAATTTTTACCAACTGAGCTAGTGATACAAAAAGACTTGAAACACTAATGAGTCTTTTTTTTTTTCCCCCTTTTCAAAAATTATCCTTTGTCTTTTATTTACATAGAAAAAAAGGAGCTTTGGAATAAATTATATTCTTCCCCACCTCAATTTTTTTTTTGCTTTTTAATTTAAACCTGGCCTATAGGCTGGGAGGATTGGGGAAAGGAGGCAAAAGGGAATGACTATCAATATACTATAAACTATTGAATTACATATTTTAAATGATGACATGTACTGGAGATGTCAAAAAATTCATGGAAAAATAGAATGAAAGAACTAGTTTATACTGGTGTAGACATTGTTGAATCATGCATAGTTTTTTTTTTTTTTTTTTTGGAGAGGCTTTTGCTATAGGGTGCATGCGCTTGCCAGAAAGAAAGAGAGAGACAGAGAGATAGAAAGCAAGAAATCACCCCCCAGGTGGGATGGCCACGCTGCAATCCCTTCTCCTCCATTCTCCTCTCAGGATCTTGGGCACGCACACACACGCACCCAGTGTGAGTTTTAAGCTACTAGGTCTGGGACTCAAACTGCGGTTGACTACATGGGAGTCCAGCGACATAGCCATTACGCTAACTGCTGGTTCCCCCATAGCAAATTTTTTAAAGAGAGAGAGAGAAGCAGCAGTTACAAAGGGAATTCAAAATTCACTTGATTTTTTTTTTTTTCTGAACATTAGAAAACAAAAACAGAAATTTAGGAATATGTTTGGTTGCTTTTGGTATCAAATCTGGATGTTCAGTTGCCCAACCCACTTCCTCTTTCTTGACGAAGTAAAAGTTATTTTTGGATTCTGATTTCCTGAATAAGCGGAGTTGGGAATCCCAGCAGGGCTCACTGTGAAAGGCTGTGCTTGCATGTGTACCGAGTGCTCCACCGCAGGGACTGCAGTACCAGCCCTCGGAGTCCAGCCTTGTTGATGGACCCCTTACTCCACCTCCTCCCTCTTAAAATGGAAATAAAACACTCTCATTCAGTAAGTGTCAGTCCTGAGAAACTGTCATTCATATGTTACCAATACTACCATACATGACGTTGAGAATTTTAGATTCCATTTATCCTAGAGAGTGTATTTTTCTCTACAAAAATTGTCTCAGGAAGACTTCGGCTACTTATCAATAATCTGCCCACCCAGAGATATTTAAGCATTTTAAATTCTAAATTAACCTTTCAGTGAACATGAAGCATTTGTTCACTCTTTAGTTACCATAGTGGAGTCATGTAACTTTTTCTTTGCTATTTGTCTTCCATGGCTCTCCTAAAGGCAGTCTGATCCAGATTTGTGTTAAGTTACCAATTGTTTGTGCCAGCCTCCAGTCAGCCTCTCCCTCTTGGCAGAGTAGCAAAAGAAAAGCCTAATACTGAATCACCCAGGGAAAACGTCCTTATGGGAATGAAAGTAGATGCACAGATGGGAAATACATATTTTTGTAGCCAGCATTGCCTGACCCTGTGAATTCATTCATACGATTCTTTAAGAGGAAAGGGGAAAGAAAGGAAGGACCAGCCCCCTTGTGCTTTCATTTCCTGCCGTAAGACAAGGGCTTTCCATCTGAAGAGCTGTTTTCATAACACTTCCCCTGTATTAAGTTCCTGGGACAGCCGGTACCCAACGTTTCCATCATTTTCCAGGTTTGTCTTAAGCAACTAAGGCTAATAGGAGAGTGCCTGAGCCCACCCCTGTATATGTGATGATTCTGTTTTGCTTTGTTTTTAAGTAAAAAGGTGATTGTTAAATAGCAGTTGGCAATGCTTAAAATGAGGAATAGAAGCTCAGCTGCAGTAGAGTACCTGGTTGCTGCTGCTACTTACTTAGCAGGCTGAGGCCATGTGAGAGGCCCGGGTTCAATTCCCTGCTCATCTTTGTGGGGGAAAGTCACCAACTTACACCTGCAGTCCCAACTGTTCGGGAGACTGAGACAGGAGATTGTGGCATAATGAGACTGTGTCTAAAATAATAAAGAATAGAAATAGAGAAATCAGAAATTTAACCTTGATTGCAGTTTTTTTTAAAAAAAAAAAACTTAAAGTTGTTTTCTGAGTATTTGAAATTTTATTTTTATTAAAGGGTTGACATTCATACACAGATTTTAGGCATATAAATTTATGAATAAATATACACAATTTAATCTCTACCCAGATTCCAGTTTAGAACATCCCAAATCCCAGAAAACTTCTGTCATCTCTTCCCAGACCATTCCTCCTTGCCGGAGAGAACCACCATTTTGATTTCTGTCATTGTAATACACTAGTTCTGCCCAGTCTCGAGCTTCATTTAAATGAGATTATGCAGTACATAGAATAACTTTGGATCCGCTGTATTTTATTCATCATTCTGTCTTTGAGACTCATCCATTTGTTCGTATAGAACAATAATTCACCCTCCTTGCTGTCTGGTATCTCATTGTTCAAATGTATTGCAGTTTATCCATTTGGCAATCGTCGAGTCATTCGAGAGAGTTTTGTTTTGTTTTGAAAAGTTTTTGCCATAGGGTGCTTGCACTTGCCAGAAAGACAGAGAGACAGAAAGCGAGAAATCACCCCCAAGGGAGATGACCACACAGCAATCTCTTCTCCATTCTCCTCTCAGGATCTTGGGCACTCACACACATGCACCCGGAGTGAGTTTTAAGCCACCAGGTCCGGGACGCGAACCGCGGTCAACTACCTGAGAGTCCAGCGACTTAGCCATTACGCTAACTGCTGGTCCCACCACATGATTTTTAAGCCACTGGGTCTGGGGACTCGAACCACAGTCAAATACATGAGAGTCCAACAACATAACCATTATGTTATGTGCTGATCCCAAAATGTTATTTATTTTAACTCCAAATTATGAACCATATTATTCAATATTTAATATGTCTATGTTTATTACTTTTGCTCTTCTTTTCCAGTTCAACTCAAAATTTTGAGAATATTTACGAAATCTACCCAAGGGAAAAAAATAGAATAAAACAACAGAAATAAAACCTAAATAAATAGATGCCTGTGTTCATGGATTGGAGGTCTTAATATTGTCAGAATGACAACACTCACTACATTGATCTATAGATTCAATAATATTTTTTTTAAAGAATTATTTTATTTTAACTTTATTTATTATTATTGTTACTTTCCAGTTTGATCAGACAGACAGAGAGAGAGAGGGAAAGTGAGAAAGAAAGCCACCAGATTCAGGACTTGAACCACGGTTGGCCATGTGGGAGTCCAGCGCCTTTAAACACCACGCCACCTGCTGGCGTATTATTGCGGCCCCAATAATACGCCAGCAGGTGGGGTGGTGGTTAAGGTGCTGGACCCCACATGCCTGACCATGGTTCAAGTCCTGGACCTGGCAGCTTGTGTTCTCACTTTCTCACTCTCTCTCTGGTGAGCACATGAGTCTTGTTGCAAACTACAAAAATAATAATAATGAAAAATAAAATTAAATCTTTTAAAAAAATTATTTAACTTTATTATTATCTTTTTTTTTTTTAATTTGGTAGAAGGCATGTCCATTCACCAGAGAGAGACAGATAGAGAGGGAACATGAGAGAGCAACCCACCAGGTTGGGGTCTCAAACCATGGAACCCATGGTCGACCGTGTGGGAGTCCAGCGCCTTTAACCATCATGCCACGTGCTGGCCCCCATCTATTTATGTTTTAAGGAAGATGAACAAAATAGGATTCAACTAAAGTAGGATTTTACATTATTGCAGATATGCTTCTGCTGTCTGGTAAGAGTTTTAAGGAAACAGTAATATAAAGTGAAACATGAGAAAAGTTTGGAGATCTAACTAGCTTTGGGGTCTCGTGTGTAAAATTTTGTACAGCACAGTTAGTTGGAATGAATATCAAAGTCCAGAGCCACATTCTAGTTCCACTTGCTGCTTACCATCGTACTGGACGCCATCACCACCTCGTGAGGTTCTCCTAACCTATGAATGCCCCACCTACTGTCATAGGACGTGGAGTGTTAAATGAGGTGGTGGGGTTGGAATTCTGTGGAAGTATTAGTCTTTCAGCTTACTTTTTGCATAATTATAAAAGTCTGTTAGCAGCTAGAATGATGGAATACAAAATGGTATGTATTTATGTTTATATTCCATACAAAAATGCCATGCAAAGAATATCTTATGTTGTAATAGAGGAAACAAAACATGAGAATGATGAGATAGTAGGAGGATATAGAGATTGCTATTTTCCACTCCCTTTTTTCTGGTATTAGTTTGCTCTCCCATGGTTTTCCAGGTAAAGAATGTGTGCAGCAGTTAGCAGAAAACACCAGGTATTTCAGGAGACGCCTGAAAGAGATGGGCTTCATCATCTACGGGAATGAAGACTCACCGGTGGTGCCTTTGATGCTGTATATGCCAGCCAAAATCGGGTACGTTTTGTTGCAGATCACAGACTCGTTGGTCTCTTATTAGACTGCAAGGGTCTGTGGTGTGAGCCTACAAGGCTCGTGTTTTGTTAAGGACAGCTGTTTGGTCCATTGTGTTATGTTAATCTCCATTTGGTAGATATGCCATAGAATAAATAGTGGATTCCAAATCACAAAATATAACTTACTATTCTTTCATCAAACAAACATTTTTGGTTTAATCACTCTTCTAGGGGTTTAGCATAGATCTGTGAACAAAACACAAACATCCCTGTCCTTTGGAGCTTACATTCTTTTTTATAAAATGATTATTTTTATTTAATTTTAGGTATTTATTATTATTATTCGTTTTGACCAGAGAAAGAGAGAGAGAGAGAGAGCAAGCCACCAGGTAGAGGACTCGAACCATAGTCAGCCATGTGGGAGTCCAACGTCTTAACCACCATGCCACCTTCCGGCCCCTGCAGCTTACATTCTAATGAGGCCAGTGTCAGACAAACATAGTCAATAAGTAAATAATGCAGTAAATAAGAAGATGTTAGGTGCTATGGAAATAAGTAGAACAGGATCTTTCTAGGGACTTCAGAGTTTCCCGTGGGTGGGCCAAGTAAGCCTCATTGGGACAAGAAGAAGATATCTGAGCCGACTTTTGAAAGCGTTGAGAGAGTTAGCCATGGAGAAGAAAGCATTTGTTAAAAGACCACAGTGCAGGAGTTAGATTAGCAGAGGGGTCCCTGGTGCAGGTGCGCAGAGAGCGTACACCAAGGCATGTTACTGGATGTTTACCATGTGCACTGATCGTTCCAGCCTCTGGTGTGTGCAGCAGATGTATAGTGGGTAGCTTTCAGTGTATTTGAGAAATCCAGGATATAAGGAAACCAGATGGCTTTTGAAAAGCACATGAATAGTACTGGTATTGAAATAATATATTGAATAAATATAATTACACAAAAAATTATACTGGAGATGTAGAATAAAGGGGTGATCTTCTTACTACAGACTCAGTAAAAAAGGCACATATTTTTGGACTGGGTGAATTTTGAGCTGGAACTGAAATATAAAATTGAATGAGGATCATTTCTCAGGTTTGAATGAACTCATTAAGGGAACAAACATTTTTGTTTGTCTTGAATCCCTAGTGCCCACCATGGTCCTAGGACTCAGAGGACACTCAGTAAATATTTACTGAAGTAAATATGGGAAAGACCATTAAATAAGAAACCCTAGAGGTTTATGATCTTGGAGCGACTCAGAGGGAAATGGCAAAAGGTGCTCACTGAGGGAAAAAGGAGAGTTCAATTTTGAACATGAAGTCATACGGGATATTGGCATTACAGCTTTCAGAGGTTGCTAAAGGATTTTCTTCATTTTGTTTTGGTTTTGTTTCAGGGTGTGTGCACTCCCCAGAGAGAGAGGGAGAGACAGAGAAGAAACAGCGCCCCCACATAGGGCATGGTCACATCTCTCTCCCTTCTCCTCCACCTCCCCATCTTTTGGGATTTGGGGCATGCATACACGCCCAGTGTGTTTCTCAAGCTGCAGGTCTGAGACTGGCTGCAGGGTCAGTCATGTGGGATCCGGCTGCCTTAACCATCAGCCCACAAAACCAGTCCAACTTCCTTTTTGAAAAGGAGTAATCATAAATAAACTTGAGTTACCAGATCTGGAAGGCTCACTTATTCTAGATCCTTTCTTTGGAGAGGGCTGTATCTGATATTCTACAGAGGTAAAACTGTGTACACGCTGTAATGAAGAAAGATTTAGAGGGACCAGCAGGTGGTGTGGTGGTCGAGATACCAGATTCCTGCATAGCTGACCACGGCTCAAATCCTGGGCCAGGCAACCTGGAAATCAAGCCAGGCACATGTGCGTGTGTGGCCAAAATCCTAGGAGGAGAATGGAAAAGAAGAGATTGCAGTGTAGCCACCCCCTCCCCCAGGGAGGTGATTTCTCACTCCCCCACCCCACCCCACCCTGTCTCCTGCGAGTGTACATGCTCTATGACAAAATTTAAAAAAAAAAAAAAAAACTAAAAATGATTTAGAGAATAATTCTAATGTGAAGAATTAGAATAAGGGCCAGCCCTGTAGTGCAACAGCCCTACCTAACAGGATGTAAAGGTGGAAAGAGGGGATTGTGGTGTGACCGTGCCCCATTAGGGGGTGCTTTTTTCCTCTTTGTCTGTCTCTCTGGTGAATGCACACACCCTCTGACAATCGAAAAAAGGATTGGAATTAAAGCCCTGTGGATGGAGCATGTGATGAAGAGACAGCGCTCGGTTCACTCGGGGTATATTGAGGAAGATGCACTGGTACTGGAGACAGTGGGAAAAGATTGAAAAGACAGGCATTAATGTAATGTCACAAGCAGGATTTTCTTACTCTCCAACAAATGCTATGAACAGCTTAGGAAAAAAGTCAAGAAAATAAGGGGGGCTGGCAGATGGCATGGTTTTAGTTAAAGGTGCTGGATTCCCACATGGGTGACTACGGTTCGAGTCCTGAACCTAGTGGCTTGCTTTCTCACTTTCTATTTCTCTCTCTGATCAAATTAAAATTAAAAAGTGTATAAATAAATAAGCTTAAATAAAATAATTCTTTAAAAAAAGAAAGAAAATAAGATAGGTCAAAAAGAGGAAAAGATAAAACTGCATAATTTATTAAAATTAATTGAAACTTAGAATGCATTATTTAGACAAGATACAGTAGAAAAACACTGCTGGCCGCCAGTTTGGCTTGCAGTGGGGTTGGGAGTTGTTCAAAAGAATTGTGTAGTTGGAACCAGCAGTTAGCATTATGGCTATGTTGCTGGACTCCCACGTAGTCGACCACGGTTTGAGCCTCGGACCCGGTGGCTTAAACTCATGCCAGGCACATGTGCATGCGTGCCCATGATCCCGAGAGGAGAATGGAGGAGAAGGGATTGTGGCGTGGCCATCTCCCTTGGGGGGTGATTTCTCGCTTTCTGTCTCTCTGTCTCTGGCAAACGGCAAACGCACACCCTCTGTAAAAAAAAACCCTAAAAAAAAAAAAAAAACGAAAAATTGTGTAATCTTGGTAATCAGCTGAAGCCAGGGGCCGAGCTGGTTTGACAAAGGAAACCCTGATTTCAAAGGCAGCTTTGTTCCAAGTTGATAACAGAGATGCCTAGTCTGAAAGGTTAGCGCCAGCCATCCTGCCAGGAGAAAGATGCTCACGGCACAGCAGATCCTCTGAATCCTTGTGATCTTGTGAACTTTAAATGATCAGGCTTGACATTTCAGGGACCAGATTTTTTGGGTTTTTTAGAATTATTTATTTAATTTAATTTATTCATTCATTTTATTTATTTATTTTTAATTTGACCAGAAAGACATAGAGAGAGTGAGAGAGGGAAAGTGAGAAAGCAAGCCACCAGGTATGAGACTCGAACTGTGATTGGCCATGTGGGAATCCAGCGCCCTTATCCACCACGTCACTTGCTGGCCCCAGGGACCAGGTTTTTTGAACTCAAGTTCATATTGAAGTCTCTGAATTTCTGTTACATGTTAGGGATATCTTTTAAGGCTCTGATTACAAATCCTATTAAAATTGGTCTCTACCATCTATAGTTTTCCACCTTTGTGAAGGAAACCATAGAGAGATTACCACCTTAAAATTACAAACTTACACTCAAGAGTTTTTTGCCTTAGGGTATGTGCACTTGCCAGAGAGACCAACAGAGGCATGAGGGAAAGTGAGAAATTACCCCCCAGGGGGATGGCCACTCCACAATCCCTTCGCCTTCATTCTCCTCCTGGGATCTCGGACACACATACATGTGAACCTGGCATGATTTTCAAGCTACCAGAGCTGGGACTCAAACCGTGGTTGGCCATGTGGGAGTCCAGCAATGTAACCACTATGCAATCTGCGAGCCCCATGATATGTCAGTTTTTAAAAGAATCAGGAAATTTCTACTAAAAGTCTCCCATGGGGACCAGCAGGTGGCATAATGGCTACATCACTGGACTCCCATGTAGTCCACCGCAGTTTGAGTCCCAGACCTGGTGGCTTAAACTCACGCTGGGGACGTGTGCGTGTGCACTCAAGATTCCAAGAAGAGAATGGAGAAAGGGATTGCAGCGTGGTCATCCCCCCTGGGGGGTGATTTCTCACTTCCTGTCTCTCTGCCTATCTTTTTCTTTCTGGGTGAGCGGACGCACCCTGTAGCAAAAAGCTTTCCAAAAAAATAAAAAAGCCTCCAATGCCTGCATCACCCGAGAGTTTTAAGTCATTCAGGACGGCAAGACCTATGTAACTGTAACTTATGTAACTTTACGGTTTCTCTTACATGTTTTCCCCTTTGCAGCGCCTTTGGACGGGAGATGCTGAAGCGGAACATCGGTGTGGTTGTGGTGGGATTTCCTGCTACCCCAATTATTGAGTCCAGAGCCAGATTTTGCCTGTCAGCAGCTCATACCAAAGAAATGCTTGATACCGTAAGTAGCTACTTCCACTTTGGTCTAAATATGCTTTATACTGAAAGGGCCTGCATAACAGATGAACTTAAATCACCCATTGAGTCTTATCGTCTTTGAATACCTAAGATACTTACTGGTAAGACAGAGCGAGTTGAACATAACAGTACTTAAAACATTGTCATTAGCAAAAAAAAAAAAAAAAATCACAAAATCCTTAGCATTGCCCACCAAACCCAGGTCTTCAGATATCTGGATCCCTTTCCAACTTCATCCTTTTCCATTCTCTTGCTCTTTAAAGACCCTACAACTTACACTTCTGTTTCTACTGTAGCTGTTTCTTCTGTAGGCTTTTTCTTACCCTGACAGTAGAATTTTGCCATGTTTTTAAAGCTCCTGAGTCTAGGACTTGAACCATGCAGTTATCCGTGTAGAATCCAGTTGCCTCAACCTCCATGCCACCTGCTGGCCTATGAGTATATTCTTAATCACATTCTGTCCTTTCTTCTGTTTGCCTGGCTGGCTGCTACTCATTCCGTTTGCCTGGCTGGCTGCTATAGGGCGCGTGTGCACACCAGAAAGACAGAGAGACAGCGAGAAATCACCCCCCAGAGGGAATGGCCATGCCACAGTCCCTTCTCCATTCTCCTCTTGGGATCTTGGACATGCATGCATACGCACCTGGCATGAGTTTAAGCCACTGGGTCCAGGACTGAAACCGCGGTCGACTACATGGGAGTCCAGCGACATAGCCATTACGCCAGCTGCTGGTCCCGAATTTTGTAGAATATTAATTGTGTCTCAGTAATGTTACTATTTTAAAATATGAGAAGAGCAAGGATATTGGCCTGGGGACACAGCTGTCCTAGAATATTCCCTTATTCAGTCCTATAATTAATACATGCTTTTTCTGAAACCCACCTTTTCCTTTGATCAAGAAGTTCAGGTAGACTATCTGTTGATAAATGGTGGTGCATGCAATGATTCCTTGTTCATAATCTAACTAAATAACTCCACATAAAAGCCAGCAGCTTCTACTATAACTTTATCTTTTATCAAAATAAAACTTTTTTGCCTGAAATAGTTGGTGTGGGGTCAGGGGAAATCTTGTAATCCAGAACCCTTTGGGTTCCTGAAGGTTTTTTTTTTACCCCATCTCTAAAAAAAAATTAGGTTCTTCTGAAATCAGGGTTCATAAACATCCTTTCCTTTGTGAATTTAGTAAGTCACAGGGACTTCTGTTGTAGACTAATGAATCTTCTATCAGAGGTCGGGGGAATAAATGGCTAATGGGTCCTCACAGCTGAAATTTAGTCTTAAATTGTTTCCATATGGAGCTTTCCATTAAACCTTTTCTTAAAGGTGCCACTATTTTGATAGCATATTGAAGGTCAACTCTTACTTGCTTTTTGTATTTTGCACATTTTGGAATGAATATTTTTCCTATGCTGCATACGTAAGGGACATTATTGCTGATTTTTTCTCTTCAAACACTGACATTAGGTGTACATTTTCACATGGAATTATAGCTATTGTATTGGACAGATTTATGTGATGTCAGAGATTCAGAGTTGACAGACAGTAGGGCCTCTACTGCCACCCTAAAATTTCGTAGTTACTGATGAGATTGTACTGATGAGAGTGATCCATTGTCTCTGAAGCTGAGATCCATTAGCTCCAGATTTTGCAGTAGATCTACCAGTTCATATCCACAGGCACTTGGGGAGTGAGTAACAGGTCTAGAATTGGCTGCTTATTGGAAACTGCATTCCATAACTGGTGCTAAGGGCGCCCTCATGGTAAAAATGCCTTAGAATCTAGGATTTTCAAAATGTTGGCCGTCTTTCTTGGGTTTCTTTTGAGTTTTCTGGAGCTTAGTGTCTCTTGGTTATCTTTTTTTCTGACAAATTCTGAATGCATATATCTCTCTCATATTGGTGTCTTCTATTTTGACTCTCTGTACTGCTTTTAGGAAAGGTTCACTCAACATGTTAAGATTCGTGTGCTTGGGGCTGGCAGGTGGCGTTATGGTTAAGGGCGCTAGACTCCCACATGGCCAACCACTGTTAAAGTCCCAGACCTGGCGGCTTGCTTTCTTACTTTCCCTCTCTTTCTTACTCTGTCCCTCGCTGGTAAAAAATAAATAAATAAAAATAAAAATAAATTTAAAAATTGGGGGGGGAAAAACCGATTCATGCACTTACCTGTATGCTATACCTCCTTTTTTCTTTCTTTTTTTTTTTTTAGAGGTTTTTGCTATAGGGCACATGCACTCACCAGACAGAGAGAGATAGACAGAAAGTGAGAAATCGCCCCCTAGGGGGATGGCCACGACGCAATCCCTTCTCCTCCTTTCTCCTCTCGAGATCTTGGGCATGCACGCACATGCGCCCAGCATGAGTTTTAAGCCACTGGGTCCGGGACGCGAACCGCGGTTGACTACGTGGGAGTTCAGCGACATAGTCATTACGCTAACTGCTGGCCCCATCCTCTTTTTTTCTTAGAGAGAGATTTTTGCTATAGGGCATGTGCACTCACCGGAGAGACAAAAATAGAAAGCGAGAAATCTCACACACACACACACACCCCCGGGCAGGGGGATGGCCTTGCCACAGTCGCTTCTCCTCCATTCTTCTCTGGGGATCTTGGGCACACACACACACTCTCCCAGTGTGAATTTTGTTTTTTGTTTTTTTTTTAAGAATTATTTTATTTAACTTTATTTATTTATTTTAATTTGACCAGAGTGAGAGAGGGAGAGAAGGAAAGTGAGAAAGCAAGCCACCAGGCCCGGGACTCGAACCATTGTTGGCCATGTGGGAGTCCAGTACCCTTAACCACCATGCCACCTGCTGGCCCCCCAGAGTGAGTTTTAAGTCACGGGGTCTGGGACTTGAACTGCAGTTGACTATGTGGAAGTCCAGCAACATAATCATTACACCATCTGCTGGTCCCTGTATGCTACACTTCTACCAAGAGTTTGTTGTTATTGTTTTATGCATATAAAAGAACAAGCATTCCTTGTAGCGAGTTAGACCCGTCTAACAAGGAGAGACATTTCATACCCATTTCCTCTGAAAATTAAAAGACCAGATTTTATAGAAACGGAAGAAAGCTATACTGAGATAGAGTTTTGATGGGAAAACAAGATAATCTCTCATGATTAAGATTGTGGAGTTCATTTGGGGCGCAAGTTCAAATCCCAGTTTGTCCTTTCCTTGCTGCCTCTCCTATCCAACATTTGCCATCCCCCCAGAATCTCTTCTAAACCACTTCTACTTTTCCTTATGAAGTCTGGGCAGACATTCTGGTTTTTTTGTTCTTTTTTGTTTGTTTTTTTGCTATAAGGTACATGTGCTCAACAGAGAGAAAGTAAGAAATTACCCCCTTAGGGATGATCATGCCACAATCCTTTCTCCTCCATTGTCCTCCCGGGATTTTGGGCACATACACGTGCCCGGCATGAGTTTCAAGCTGTCTGATCCAGGACTCAAAACTGCGGTCAACCACACAGGAGACCAGTGCCTTAACTACTACAGCACCTGGCCCTGCAGATTTTCATAATCTTAGGTAGCATCTCAGCTCAGACTTCCTACCAGTTTCCAGGGTATAGGTAATGCAGTAATGGAAAGATCAAATACTGAAGGAAAAAAGGACAGATGACCAACAGCAGTTGACTTGGCGCGGTCAGGATACATATTCCTTTTCCTACTGAGCATATATATTCATGGATTACACCCCTGATCCTGCATACCTGGCTATTAACATGCCATTATTCACGGTCAGTCTATGGCCTGGAGTGAAAGGCAAGTCTTCCCATGGCTGAGCTGTAGTCTGGCTGGGTACATGACAGTAAGTCCCACAGGATAACCACATCACGATCGTTTTGAGTAGAACCATGCACCAGATGTACATGCATCTCCTTGCTCTGACCAGTCTCTTTGTCTTATATATTTTAGGCTTTAAAAGAAATAAGTGAAGTTGGGGACCTATTGCAACTGAAGTATTCCCGTCACCGGTTGGTACCGCTACTGGACAGGCCCTTTGACGAGACTACATATGAAGAGACAGAAGACTGAGCCTTTTTGGTGCTCCCTCGAGGGACTCTCCCTCACCAGGACAGTGTGGCCTTTCTGAGCCAGTTCTAGGAACTACACGTCTGTGGCCATCTCGTGTGAAAGACGTTTCTCCGACTACTGAAGGTGGCCACCTCCACTCTAAATGGCATTTTGTAAATAGTGAAAAACTGCTTCGCATCCTTCTTTTGCTAAATCTCACCTTAAAAGGAGAGGTGATTCACTTTGCTTTTTTTTGTCCATTAAAAGACATTTTCTTTTATAACTATTCTACTTGTTAAATCAACTGACCCTAGCCTGTCTCCGGCTAACCGCAGGCCACTCCCCTCTCCTGGCCACCACACTGACCTGGGCCATGCAGAGTTCCTGCCGGGCCTGGCTCCACAGCCTGGAGACCGCCCTGGCCTGCCTCTCCAGGGAGCACGTGCCTTCCCCTCACTTCCCATCCAAGTCTCAGAGGTTGTCAACCCTGGGGTCCTTATTTAACCAGTCAAGTAATCAACCAAAGTTTGCTCCTTTAGTCCTAAAGTTAGCCTTTTAAGAACAGGAAACATTAACATTGCCAAAAGGCTCATTTTATAACTCTCCCTGGCCAGAAGCCTCCCTGGGCTTCGGTCTTAGTCGCTTTCATTCCGATCACAAGGTGATGTCTTTCTTCCCTTGTCTTATTTCTTCAGAGTGGTCACAGTCTGAGGCTATGTTCAAACTCTGGGATGTTCCCCAGCCCTAACCCTGATACCTCTCACCCCTTATTTAAAACCCTCACTGTTTCACAAGCTCTCACTTCTCACCCGGGATGACCTCTGAGGCAAAGGTAACTCACATCTCGCTGTTTGTGTACAAAGCTGCTCTGTAGAGTGACATGCACTCCCGGTGGGGCTGGGGGCCGAGGCAGTGTGGGAAGAATGGTGGCTTCTGGTGGGGAGTCTGTGGTTTGGGTTTCTTGCTGCTTTCTATTTTTGAAAATTTCTACAGCCTCTGGCTGTCTAGATTAGGATTTAATGATAAAGGAAAATCATTTATCATGTTCCTATTTCAGGATTAAAGTTATTCATGAAGCCCTTTCAGGAGCTGACCCACCTAGATGTTCTGAATGTTGATCGTCTTTAACTCTTGATGCCCTTAGACGGTTTTAACCTGGCATCTGGGGCTAGGCCTCCCTGTCCTTCCATGATAGATGTTTTTTTTTCATTTTTTCCTCAGAAATTCTTAACACATAGCCCTTTCATAAACAGTGATCCTCTATTTTTATTCTTTTCATGCTTTAACCAGGTAAAGCGACTTCTTTCAAGAGAGCTTTATATTGTTTGACCAAAGAACAAATCTGAAACTCACCATTTTTAAGTTCTTAATTTTTCTAATGACCAAAGTGAAGAGAACTTTTGACTTTATTATACCCTAAATCAGCTTTCATCTTTCAGTAGCCATCAGGTATTATTGGGGAAGGACTGGGAACAGAATGGAAAAACAGTTTGTGGAAGTCATGACGTATGTCTTCTGTTTGTGAAATCACTCCTTTTACTGATAAAGGTCCTCAATCCAAATTCTCCTGGGTATCTTAACAGTTATCAACTGCTGTGTGTTTGTACTACATGTAGAGAGCCGATATACACAGTGTCATTTGCAAAGTTTTGTTCCCATGTTTTGAGTATAAGTTATCTTTGGCGACTAAGCATCTGGGAGCATTACACCCTGGAGATAACCTAAGGTTTTATTTTACTTTTTTAAAGAATAGTAACAACAAAAAAAGGCTAAATTAAAAGGCTGTGGAGAGATGTAGGGACTATTTTTAGCACGTTACAAGTTAAAGATTTTGGTAGTTAAGTAACCTGTCCTGTAAAATCACATACTTTGCTAACATTTCCTGTACATCTAGTTCCCCACCATAACATCTCACTGGAATACCAGGTAGCTTTTGCACTGCAGTTACTATTTAATGGTATAGGCATAGGGTTTGCAAAAATCATAAATTTAAGCAATGACCTTACCCGCTCGTCTTTTTATTTTGGCTTGCATGAGGTCACTGCAAACCAAAATGTTAGTATGGGCATTTTAAAAAGTATATATGTATATAATCACTTTGTTGGTACAAAGTTCTTTCAGGATAAATGTCATTAAATTACAAGTTTATTTTGAAGAGACAAAACTCCTGTGATTATCCAGGACCTCTGTACTTTCTAAACAAGATATTACATATACATTATATATGGCTGTTGTCTCTTCTGGAAACTGTACCATAAGATCTAGGATCCAGTCATGTCATAGGTATCATTTATCCACGTACTTGGGGACATACCACTGTACAGAGATACCGTCACTGAGAATGAGTAGAAATCTGAACATACACAGGCTAATATGGCCAGATTCAAGAATCTAATGGAATTCAAGCAATGTCCATTAACTATTAGGACCAAAAATGATTATCTGAGTCAATAGATAATTTATAACTAGTCGTTATCACTTTTCACTCTTTTTTTTTTTTTTTTGTCTCCATCCATTTCAGCAGATCATATCAGAAACCAGGAAGCTTATAGCTAGAGACATAAAGATAAAAAAGGAGTGGACCCAGTGGCAGTAGCAGTCTCTCCTCCCAGCTTTATTTTAAAAGCTTTAATCTAGCAGGGGCAAGGACAATGAAGCACTCGTTTAACTCTGCTTTGGGTAAGAAATTCTTATTTTCAAGAAAAGATTCTAGCCTCCAGAAATGAAGAACCCAGCACTTTAGTCCTCTAAGTCACCATCTTAAACGTGGACGATCGGGTGAGGATTTCAGACAGTCTAAGCAGGTTTCTCGCTCATCTGGGTGTGTGCTGTGAACAGAACATCCCGCACAGCTACCGAGGAGGACCGTGTAGGCCTCGTGCCCTTTCAGAGGCCGGGGAATTGAACAGTCCTCAGATGATGATTGTCTATCATCCCGCCCTCCTTTATCCGGCCTTTCTTTCTGAACCTTCTAGGTCTTAGTTTTCAGTGTTCGCGTACTCAGCCTTTCATTTCAGGAGGCAGCAGGGAGCTTTTTATTTCTTCGCTCTTCATAGGAGCTTGTACCTGTTTCTCACGACTAGTACGGTCTAGTGAGTTTTCTGGTGTATATATAATACAGTTTGCATCTTACCTATTAGTAAACACCAGGAGTGATAGTGGCTCATGTGGAGAGATTTCCTGACTTTTCAGGGAAGGAATAAAAAGTGACTGTTTCGGAACCAGCAGTTAGCGTAATGGCTATGTCGCTGGACTCCCACGTAGTCAACTGCAGTTCGTGTCCCGGACCCGGTGGCTTAAAACTCACACCGGGCGCGTGTGCATGCGTGCCCAAGATCCGGAGAGGAGAATGGAGGAGAAGGGATTGCTGCGTGACCATCCCCCCTGGGGGGTGATTTCTCGCTTTCTGTCTCTATGTCTCTCTCTGTCTGTCTGGCGAGCGCACGCGCCCTACAGTGAAAATCTCTCCCAAAAAAAAAAAAAAAAAAGTGACTGTTTCTACTGCTGCCTCCCCGTTTACCCCCTTTCCAAACTGATGATTGCGGGTGCTCAGTGGTGCTGAACTGGGCAGCAGTAGAACCCCACCATAGGCAGTGAAGAAAGCAATTCAGAGTAATTCTTCTTTTGCAGAATTTGTAGAGTTTTTGACCACACCACCTAGCAAAGGTTAAGTACAATTGTTCTCTTGTCTAAAGAACTGCTATGGGACCAGCAGGTGGTGTGGTGGTTAAAGCACTGAATCCCACATGGTTGACTCCATGGTTCAAATCCCAGACCCGGCAGCTTGAAAAACACTCCAGGCACGTGTGCCCAAAATTCCGAGGAGAAGGGATTGCGGCATGGCCATCCCCCCTAGAGGATAATTTCTTGCTTTCCATCTCTCTCTCTCTCTTTTTCTCTTTGCCAAGTACATGTGCCCTATGGCAAAAATCTTTATAAAAAAAAAAAAAAGAAAGAAAGAAAAAGTAAAAAAAGAAAGAATTTCTATGACCTGATTTCCAGGGTGTCCCCCCCCCGCCGTGTTCTAGGTAAGCCAAAATGGGTTTTATTCACTGCTTGCTATAACCATGTGGTTTGAAAAAGAGGAAGAATACTAATTTTCCTTTTGAACTGTCTACATATGTGGAAATCAGGAATTGGTGAGCATTTCATGCAGGTAAAATCAGCTTACCCCACAGGGATTGCCAGCAGGGAGGTGTGAAAATCAAGGCATCTTGGCTACTGAGCCAGAAATTACAGATATTTGTTTTTTGCTCTGTTTAGTTTTTGCAGCCTAGAACCTGCAGATGTGCTGCCACCTTAAGATGAGCTTAACATGGAAGCTCAGCGCCCAGCAGGCATCTTAATCCATTAAGCCAGTTAGTCTAAATACCTTCCACGTGGAGAAAAGCATGTCCGTTCTCTCCTCAGCCTTTCCCACATGAAATGTGTGCACAGGCTCCCAGCCAATTGCCATGTGCCCAACCAGAAAGCCAAACTGGAGGGCTGACTTCTCCCTTACCACACAGGAGAAAGGTTAGGACTAGCCAATGAGCCCTTTGCTTGAATTATATAGGAAATACTGTCGTTCCTTTGGCATTCCCAGTGGCTTCTGCTTCTAAGCTCTGTTTTCCATATATTGCGTTTCTGGAGAAGAAACTAGAGGGACTTGCTGAAGCCCCGTCTCTGGTGAGCCTGGAAGTCTCAGTCACAGTCCACCTTGGCGGTGGCCGGGTGTGGTGGTGGAGGCTGTGGACAAGGGTTTGTTTACTGCAGAGCAGACATGATAAATGGCCTTAAACTATGACTCTTTCCGGCATAAACTGACCCTAGAGGATGCCATTGTTCTTAAACTGCAGTTACTGTGTTCTTCATGAATTACTACCCAAAGCTCTATTCCTCCAGAGCAGTGGTGGGGCTGAATGACAGGTACATTCGTACCCTGAAGTTTCACCCTCGGTGCCCTGCCTCATTGCCATCTGCATGGACAAGTGAATTCTTCATGCACGAGGCGCCTCACAGCCACTCCGAGGCTGCTGTTCCTAGCACAGTTCCCAAGTTTCTTGTGTAAAACGTGGTCACTGAGTTCAGGCCTTCCAAGAGAGTAGGGGGCGTGTTGCTGACTAGGGTGGAGTGGCGGCTTTTCTCCTTACCCTTGACATGAGATCTCCTTACCTCTGTGATGTTAAGCCAAAGGTTGGAATTACAAAAAGTACCCTCGCTGGTTCTTCATGGGACACTGGTCATGTCTCTGCTGTGCAGCCCGCTGGCTCCCAGTCTTGATGATCCCTCTCTGAATAAAGGCAGCTGACAGTAAGAGAAGGGGGAAAGAGGTCGAGTGAGAGCCATAGCCATGGAAGAGCTGAGATCTCAATGTGTTGGCCTGTACTTGGCCACTGACTAAGTTACGTGTAAACTAGAATCTGCAGGGGTGCTGTGCTGCTAACTCCTTCCATTGCCGTAATGTCATGAATCCAGAAAGTGAGAGAGGGGTAATATGTTAAAATGTCACTCTTTCTTCCTTCCTTACTCTGTAAGATGATTGCCAGATGATTTTTTATTTTTATTTTTTTACTTTATTGAATGACTGTGAAGCTATAATTAGTGGGGTGGGATGGGCAGATCAATTTTGAGAGTGCATGTAAAGAACCGAAGGAGAACTACTTAAGATGACTTCAGAATCATCCCATGCAAATATATTGTTTTGCCCCTAATAAAATATTTAGAAAGATATGTCTGGCTATGCTTATTCAACCAATAAATTTTTTTTTTTGAGAGGTTTTCGCTAGAGGGCGCATGCGCTCGCCAGAAAGACAGAGAGAGGCAGCGATAGAATTTTGGGGGGGATGGCCATGCCACAGTTCCTTCTCCTCCATTCTCCTCTTGGGATCTTGGGCACGCATGCACACGCCTGGCGTGAGTTTAAGCCGCCGGGTCCAGGACTTGAACCGCAGTCGACTGCATGGGAGTCCAGCAACATAGCCATTTTGCTAACTGCTCAACCAATAAATATTGAGTACTGTGTCTGCCAGGCAGTGCACTGAGCAATACCAGTAATAGCAAGGAATAATGTGTCTACTTTCTTTTTTAAAATTATTTTATTTAACTTTATTTCATTTCACCAGAGAGGGACAGAGTGAGAGGAAGAGAGAGAGAGAGTGAGAAAGCATGCTGCCAGGTCTGGGACTTGAAGTGTGGTCAGCCATGTGGGAGTACTGCGTCCTTAACCACCACGCCACCTGCCGGCTCCAAAAATGTCTGCTTTCTAGTACATAGACACGGGAACATACAGATCATTTCACAGACTCTAAGTGCAGTGGAGGAAAAGCAGAGTGTGATAAAAGATAGTAGTCAGTATGTGGTGTAAACAGGTGACAGTACTTTCCTGAGGAAGGGGGAGGTCTCGAAGCAAATGTGGTCAGTGTTCATCGAGCACAGGGGATCGTGGTGAGCTGAGGACAGCAAGGAGGTGGGAGAGGCCCGAGCACACTGAGCTTCGTGGGCCATGGGAAAATGCTTCTCACGCAGGGGAAACAAGGGAAACGTTTTAAGCATCGAAAAAGATAACCACGAGGGTGCTTTCTGTTGATTTTGACTAGTCGATCAAATTGATATGGAAATACAAAAGCCCTAGAATAGTTAAATAGTTCCGTAAAAGAGGGCTATGCTACCTGTAAAACTTCCTGTACAGCTACCGTAATCAAGACAGTGCTGCCGGCGTTTAGGACGGCCATGTAGGTCCAGAAAATGCAACAGATGTCCAGGCAGAGGCCCACATGTATGTGGACAGCTGATTGTCAGTCAGGTGCCACAGTAATTCAGTGATAACAGTACAGTTATTTTTTAAAAATTAATTATTTATTTATACATTTATTTATTTATTTATACATTTATTTATTTTAACTTGACCAGAGAGAGAGAGAGGGAAAGTAAGAAAGCAAGCCACCAGGTCCAGGATTCGAACTGTGGTTGGCCATGTGGGAGTGTCCAGCACCTTAACCACCATACCACCTGCTGGTCCCCAGTTATTTATTTTTAAAGAATTACGTAAGTTAATTTTTAATTTGGCCAGAGAGAGAAAGTGAGAAACGAAGCCACCAAGTCCGGGACTCAAACTGCAGTCAGCCATGTGGGAGTCTAGCACCTTTAACCGCCGTGCCACTGCCAGCCCCTAGTATAGTTATGTTAGCTAGTGTTGCTGAAACAACTTTCCACTCTGGGAAAAGTGACTTTCAATCCTTACCTCAGATCATATATAATAATTAACTCCAAATAAATCATGGATCTGGACAAAAGTAAAAGTTACG